TAATTAAAATTAAGAGTAACGCGATAAAAAAATAGATAAATTTAAGTATTACTGTCATATTTATGTTTTTTAAAAATTATTATTAAATGATTGAATTATTCATTTTTTATATTGTTTCTGAGTTAAATTATAGACGTTTATTGATTGTTAAAGTTATTGATTTAAAATTTAAGGGAAACTGATTCCTGTTTTCTATTTTAAAAAAAAATTGTTTTGGTTGTTTAGAAGAGCACAATTTTCAGATTATTTTTAATAACATCGAGAGCGTTTTAAATCTGAAAAATTAGAAAAGTTTGAGGGATTTATTTTTAGTGACAAAAGATAATAAGTATAAAGGTTTAACACCAGACCTTAGATTTTACAATATAAAAATGTTCATAGAATAACAATGTAAAAGTTAAAGAATGAAAGCATTACGTCTTAGTATCATAATAGCTGACTTTCCTTTTGATGTTTTTGGTCTCAGAACATTGTATTTTTGCAATTAAAATAGCATTATCAATATTTGTCAAACAATGAAATATGAAAAGGAAACTGAAGTACACTTTTCATTTTTGTTCTGATGAAATTCTTATTATCTTTATTTCTAATATAAAAATATTTTTTGTGATTAAATAATTTCAATATCCAACAATTATTATTATTTTTTTTAGGTTTAAATTCCCTCAATTTATAATCAAAATTTACAGGTAGTATAAATCTCGACATAGTAGCCAGTCTCATAAAGCACTAGCATAATACTTAGGAACGGATCATCCCCATAAATATTAGAAAAGTTTTCCACTTCAGCAAACCACTAAATGTATGATTCTGTATTGTAAACAGTAGTGTTAATCACCAAATAACGTAGATTTCATTGTTTGAGGTATTTCGGTTTAGCGTCAATTTCAGAGACAAATAAACGGTAGCGCTAACTTGCGGTTTCACTATATTACATTTCTTGACTATTATTATAAAGTATAAGATAAAAATTAAAAAAATGTTTATAATCAAACATTTCTCATTCATAATCAAGATTGTCTTTTATTTTTTTTAATTTCGGTTATTTATTAAAAGCTTGATTAGTAATAAATATTACTTCATTAAATACTTTCTAATTATTATTTTTTAAACAGTTTTACTTAATAGTTAACATGTTTGTAAATATAGCAAACCCCTGCCAACTCGGACAATTTTTTTTCGAAACATTGTACAGTAATTTAAAATGTCTTGAAATAGAAAAATTATAATTAACGAGTGTTTTCGATATCCGGAAATCTTTGCTATACCACATTATATTAATGTAGTCGGCTATTAAAGACTGTATTGTACAGTACATTGCTTTATACTGTACATTGCCATAAAATTTTTGAGCTCATTTCTGGTAATAATAAATTCAGCAATATAACATATTAAATCAGCAAAATTCTATATAGAGTCGATCGTAATAAATCACTGTACTGTACATTTATCACCTTTTCTATGTCGTCGGAGAAAACGCCGCTAACTCGAACTTTCCTAAACTGGGACAACCTTCAGCCTCTAGTTTTCTGTACTGAATCTTTTATGTACAGTAAACTAGGGTTTATTTACATAAAAAATTGTTTTATAATATAAAAACTAATAAATTAAAACATTTGTGATTTTTTTCTGTTTTTTTCTCATAGTCTTATAAATATTCTCGTACTGTAGTACAGCTATATTTTATAAATATTTATGAAGTCATTTTAAAAAGTTGTCTTGAAAATACCCGAATTTTAGACTGTTTTACTAACATATTCTGCTGATGATATACTATATATTGTATAATATAATGTAAAATTAGTTTTATTTTAGATTAATACATTCTAACGAATCTGTGTTATAAAATATAACTATAGAACGAGAATATCATTTTATAATTATTATTAATATTAATTATTTTAAGATGCAATTAAGTAAATTCGTAGAAACTCAAGATAACTATGAATCTATTTGAAGTTTTATATCCAGATCTTTATTGAAATTAAATAGTGTATATTTTTCCTTGTATATATCTATAAATTTCCCGTATCTCTATATATTTCCTATGCATTAAATAGCAATACTTTATACGCTTTATATGCATATAAAGTATGATGTAGCCTTAATAAATTATTAAACTGAGTGTATACTGTAAGTATTCTACTGTATTATATGTACTGTATAGCACAGAACACTTAAGTGTACAGTACATGCACAACACAAAAAAATGTGTTAAAGATTAGCCTATAGTTTGAATATTACATAGTCAACCTTTAAATTTATCATGAGTATATTAAATTTATTTTTATTTAGAAATACTTATCTGATAACATATATATTATACTCGAATTCTACGTTTGGACTAAATGAAGCTAAAAGACTATAAAAGAATATTTTTAGAATTTTTATGACATTATCAATCTTTTTGTTATATAGTAGACGTTTTCATCTAATTACTGATCGATTAATATTAATTTATTTTATTTTAAAATGGTAAAACTTACTTTCAATAATAAAGTTTACATTCTAATCGAAAAAGTAGGAGAATAAAATACAGTCAAACCTTGATATAACCACTATTTGTTCACTTGTGAAGTTGACACTAAGTAGGGTGTGGTGATAAAGCGAAGTACCACAAATAATAAGAATTGCATATGGCAGTAAGATCTAAACAAATTTTGAATTTGAGTCATGTGATTTAATGATAACAGTGTTATTTATAATGCAAAATCGTATATTTAGTAATTCATAAAAGCTGCAAAGCTTTCTAATATTTATGAAGATGATCCGTTTGCATGTATTCATTGTTTTACGAAGGTAGCGCTAATCATGAGGACGCTATATCGAGGTTTGAATGTACAGTATTTATAACCTAACTTTGAAAATACTTTAAAATTGTATAAATCGTTGTTATTAATTAATATTGATCAAATATTTAATATCGACGTAAAACTTGTTGTCATTTTGAATGACGTTTTTAGAGATAACTATTTAACAATTATATAATGAAAATTAAAATTAAAGTCTACAGTTTTTATATAAAATAAAGTATTCAGTTAATAAAAGAATTAATGTAAACGTTGAATTTGCTGTACTCATATAAAAATCATATTATAATTCATATAGCATTCGTTGTAAGTACAGTATTTGATATTTTTCAAAATTTAAAATTCTTTGTATTAAATTTAATATGGAAATGAAAAGAATTTAAAATAAAAAGTCATTCCTGCAACATTATATTCTGTTTAAACTTACGTAGATGCACCTGCTGTCGAGTAAACTTTATAAATTTCTTGCTATCTTTAATATTTTACTTTATTTATAATCTTAATTAAACAAAATAATAACTAATTTTATTATTCTTATTTATTATTCAGTTGTTTCTGTTGAAATTCTTTTAGGAGAACCATTTTTTAAGCAGTTTTTGATATGTTTATAGTAGACTATCTACTTCTCTACAAAAACTAGTTTTCAGTTTTAAATTCTAGTTTTCATTTAAAAAAATTCTATTATTGTATTAATAATAATTTGTAACTTTTTCACAACACAATTATATAATTATTCATTTTTAAAGTCAATCCTAAATTGTAGTGCATGTTGAATGATGCAATTTATGTACAATTAAAATTATTTATGAATAAAAATTCCTTTTAGCATTTATAAATTAAAATTTCTATTAAATTATAAATGTAATATATATTTGTATATCTGACAATAATCTTTATCNTGAGTTAATCCTTACTTGAGTAAAAGTTCTTTTATATATATTTTTAAAATTTAATATATTAATGTTATAATTCAAATACATTTTCTGTGTAAGAATATAAAAATTATAGACTATTAATAATTTACATTAAATATAAATAAATATATTAAAAATAATGTAGCTATTTTTATATAATTTATATTAAAATTAAAGAATTAAAAATTAAAGAACCTCTTAATTGTATCCTTTATGTTATAACAAAAATTATATGTTAATATTTTAAAAATTCGATCCAATTTTTTTCATTTATTTAATATTAGAAATCTTTATAATTATAAAGTAAATTTATTTTTTATCGTGTAACTTATTATTTTACATGCAAAATTTAAAATTCTGTTAATAAATAAACTTATAAATAACCCAAGAATAATTGTTAAAGATTTCCACTATCTTTAAAAACTCTTATCGTTGGCAGACAAGGAGTTTTTTAAAGGCATCATAATGAAATCTGACTAATTAGAATGAAGAGCTCTCCCTGAACAGAGCGTGTTCTACATCACCCTACTCTAGCTAATATGTTACATTCATTGTGTGAATGTCTGAAAATTCAAAAAAGACAAGATAACTAAAAAAAAGCTAAGTACCGCTTGATTTGCTATAAACCAAAAAGAAAATGAATATGAAAGGAAAATACATGATTATAGTTGAGGGAAATTTGTTTTTATTTTGTACATTTTCTTCCAAAATCTTTAAATCGACCATTATTCGTATAAAATGAATTTGAATTTGGAAGAGATTTTAAATAAAAATAGTAATAAAATAATTATTTCGTAACAAGTTACTGGGTAAAACAGGGTGATACGCCTATAGTTTATATCAACACATATAGGTCACTTAATTGCGGGTTCCAGAAGATATAAATAGGCTTATATAACGTATATACAGCAAAGTGTTATCTTTTAATAAAAGTGAATAAAGTTAAATAAAAACTCGATGTAGCATAGTGGTAGCAATGAAATGACAGGTTACTTGTTCGTTTTGGGCATCTATCCCGTACGTCGGGAGAGTTACCTAATGTTTAAGGACGAGATGCCTATTTTATTTAACATTTAATTTAATCAAAATTTTTGAGCTTTTTGTTCTTTTCACACTCACTGTACTCTATAATATAAATTGTACATGTTTCATGGCTCCTTTTTTATACATTGCATATCGGATCCAATCTGCTTTACTTGTCTCGATTTTGCTACTTAATTATATGATAAACAAGAGTTTTCTTTTCCATTTTGGGTACCCAACATTTGAATTTGATTCAAGAGCTCCGCTTTGCTAAATTACTATCTTTAAGTCTTCTGCGAAGAATACGATAAGGAATGTTAAATTCTTTGCTTGTTTGACAGTAATTTAGACGATTAGTATGTACTGTTTCATCTGGAAGAAATAAGTACTGTTCATCCCATTTTCCTCTATTGGCAGCAGTTACCTTTCTTATGTATTTAGTAGGAATCTGAAATTAATAAATTTAATTAAGTATAAATAATTAAAATATTAAATAAAATATTTCAGAAAAACTATACATCTCTCCCTTAAATCCATTAGGCATCTCACCCAAACATACTGGAGAGAGACCTATTTCTATATTTTAGATTGAAATTATTGGGAGAGCCTCTGGCTTCGCTACACCACAACCAACTAACCCTACTATCACATGAAACAGAAATATCACATAAACATATTCGAATTTCCGAGCCTTTCATATAAATGGGAATATCGCAAAAAAAGTTTACAGAGATTATAAACAAAATCTTATTTTTTAACGAAAAAATCGGCAACACAGCCATTCGAAAATTAATGAAATAAAAGAAAGTTAAGAATAGCCATTAAAGAGATTAGTGATGTATTCTACTGAGTATTATTTGAATAAACAACTTGTAGACCTCTCTCCTGACAAGACATTTCACCCGGTTTTACCCTACAATATTTCTTGCACTATTATTATTTATATATTAATATAATTTAACTTACTATTAAATTTACTAATATAATAATAATATATAAATATAATAATTTACTGATGTGAAGAAACGGATAATCTGTCATTAACACAGGCGAATAGTGGTAAAACACATGACTAGAGCCCAACTCTAAGGAGCTAAAATTAATTTCAGTCGATTGAGGCTCTGCCTTATGCCGCCTGGCAATATATTCTATAAACTGTTAGACCCTGCCTCCTGCCCATAGTAAAGTAAATAACATAAATAACATCATTATTTAAATTTACAACATTTAATTTTTAAATGTAGGACATGAGATGGGGTAGGGTTCCCAAAATTTATTGTCTAAAGCTTCCGAGATCCATAACGTGCCACTGACCATCAGCATAAGATAAAAATAAGTTAAATTTTAAATAAAAGTCATAGAATAACAATAAATGTATGAATATTACTGCAAGTACACTTTTATAAATTGATATAATACAAAAAATGATGTTGCTGGAATGACTTTTTTAATTTATTAATCCCTTTGTTAAATAGAAAGTTTATTTTTTTTATTAACATAATAAAAATATAATTTTGAAATCTAATTATATTTTTTCTTTTTACTTCTTAATTAGGTGAATCTGCTTAAAATATTGTTTATGTTTTCGGTGCAGTTTTACACTTTTTATTCACTTATTTTTACTTATCTTATTTTGTTTTTATACTGTATTACTATTGATTGCAGAATTATTGTAAGATATGAGCTAATTAGGCTATATAATTATGAAAGTGTAATTATTGTGCTGTTAGATTTCTCGGTAACAATATCGTGTTAGTAAAAAATCTGGATAATTAATTTATTATAACGATTTTATGTCATTTTATTTTATCTGTGTAAATTATAATTTATTGTCTGGATTAATTTCGAATTAATCTGTGAGAAGTAAGATTTAAATAAATAATAAGATACATTTTCTTGTTCTGTAAAGATGTAAGTTGCATCTTTTTATTTCCTATTTTACTATACGTTTTCTTCTTTAGCCACTGAAACAAATAACGTAAAAAAATAGTAACTAATATCTATTAATTAAGTGTTTCAAATAAGATCAAGAGAAAGAATAATGTGATTTTAGATGATTAAGAATGAGTAAAACAATCTATTAGATTTTTAGTTATTTTAATTCTTGAAATCTGAGAGATAAAGGATTAATAAATATTATAATTAAAAATCCCAATAAAAAGTGAAAAATACACATCATGAAACATAACAGAGCATTCTTCGTAATTTTTAAGAGCAAAGTATTAAGGAAAAAATGGATCATTGATTGATCTTGTTAATGAAAAGACCAATTAATAATTTAATGTGATTATTTGAAGATTTTTCTATTCTTGACCATGTGATCATGAAAATATTATTGATGATATATTGTCATTCACTGAGAAGATTTTTATTTAGTTTTCTGCAAATATTTTGATATCTTCAAATGCAATTATTAATATTGTTTAATGAACTTGTTATAAAGCTTTAGTACACAAATCTTGAAATCGAGCAAACCTTACGTTTATTCGTAATATATTCTACATTTATACAAATTAAAAACAGAATAAAAGGCTATTCTGTGTTAGATTTTATTAAATGAGATCATAAATTCGTTTTGGGAAATAAATTAGTTTTAATCAGTAATATCTAATACTGTGTGTGTGTATATATATATATATATATACACACACACATACAATTTTTGATAATCCAAGTCTATATATATGACTTGGATTATCAAAAAATTAATCAAATATGTAATGTTTTCTACTATTTTATATTTAAATATTAATTCTTCTCCTAGGAAATAACCCCAAATACAAGATTAATATTTTATAATGTATGTTACTTATTAGAAAAATATTTTTTTATTTACAAAAGTATCAAAGCATTTTTCGTTTAATAAATTTCATTATCATTAAATTATATTCAATATAAAAAAAGTATTCTATTAAATTATGTCAATATGTTAACAATAAATTTTTGGATTTTCTTACAGTTAAGAATTTCTTACAAAGAAAATTACATTCCATTTCCTTTCAATATATAAACAGAATACATGAATATATGTAGGAATTTTCAATATTTAAGCATACATTAATCATTCATTACGGTTGCATACACCACAACCCACGTATTTGCCAACCATATACCATTTTCTACTATATATTAACTATACCATTCACTATACAATAGCCATACATCAACTACACACAACCCATTCAATATTTCACCATAAATGTAGCATATATAATTCTCAGATTTTACTACACATTAACTTTTTATACATAAAAAGTTACTTTTATCTAACAGCTTAAATCTAAGTTATATATTTTTCAATCTTCTCTTACATTAACTAATGTAAAATGTATATCGTTTAATAGAATATTATAAATATAAACTTATTAATTTGTTCTATAAAATTACCTAGAAGACGGTCGAGTAAGCTAACATATAATTATATATAAAATTCTTTAGAAGTATTAATGAGAAGTGGAAATCAACGACCAGTTATCACTAGTTGCTATCTGCTACCAGTTGATTCAAACAAATCTGTAGGAAACAGTGCTTCGTTAATTCTTTACAGAACTAATTGTCGTTAAACATTAATGGTAACTCCTTAGACAAATTTAATTAATTAACTTCATTTTCGAGTACTGTATGAATTCTAATTTAATATTGTGTTTGAAAGAATTTTCAATTAAAAATAAGTATTGATAAATAAAAAGAATTTAAACGTTTTTTAAAAATATCTTTTGCAAATAATCTGTACAATTATATCATTAATATTTTGTATATTTAAACTAATATTTATCACGTGATTACATTATTTCAATTAATTTTAAATTTTGAGTTGTGTATTTATTTAATTAATTATATTAAACAATACAGAAATCTTAACAGAAAACGTTATTGTATCTCAAAAAATTTCAGTGTAAATGTATTTTCTAAATATCTTTTTCATATATGATTTAAAGTGTGGTTAATATAGGCCTACAACGTGGCCAAAAATCAATTAACTACTCTAAAGACAAAACTACTATCTTGTTCAAATATTTCGATGTTTAATCATATCTTGTATTTATAAGTAATGTTTTCCTGATCTTATAAAACAAAAACGCATTGTTCTAAACTCAGTTTATGATTTATATTCACAAGTATATCTGAAATACATAAAACAAAATACGGTTAACTAATTTTTGAGCTACTCTGTATAACATATAAAAGTGTATATATTCGATATAATTTAAGTTTAATTGTCTAAACATGTAAACTATTACTGAAACTGCCAGATTTTCTTTTATAAAATCTGATACTGTATTAATTTACTTCATTTGATTTCCTTTAAGAATATTGTTATACTTTATGTCTTAGAATTAGCCTAAATGAATTATTATTATTGCAATTATTTACAGGAATAATTTTATAATGAAATAGTGAATTAATTAAATTCAAGTGAAAATTAAAGAAATAAATGATAAGAAATAGATTTGATAATGAGAAAGATTGTCAAGAATTTAGATACAAATTTATATGTTTAACTTAAAACCATAAACTATATTTAAACACGATTATGATATTAATTTTAGAAAGGAATTAAATGTTTTTAAGAAATGTTAGATTATAAAATAGCTTTAAAATTATCCTTATTTGCGTATAATTAAAGAATCTCGAAAGAATTAATCTCTCATAATTCATTCTACAGAAGAATGAAGAAAAATAATAGAGAAAAAATTTTAAGAAGTGATCAAGTCCTTACATATCTGTATGTCGCATTGTAATGTATAAGCTTATGTTATAATTAAATCTCATATTTATAGTATGATTATAGGAATTTTTATCCATTAAATGACATCGAAAACATGCAATAATTGTACAAATAGTATAATAGGATAAATAATTGTAAAACATTTCATTATATTGAGTAAATTGACAATCAGGGTCTCCCTTTTTCAGGGGGTACAGAATAATAATAAAAATAAAATAAATTTACAGTTTATTATAACAAAAAAAAATTTTTTTAGGTTCACAAGACTGTAAAACAGACTATTACTTTTTTTAAATGATAGTTTTAAATCTTGTTTATCATAGTTAGATTCACTTGTGCATTCACTGTACGGTACTTATTTTGATAATGTAAGAATGAGATCTTTTTCTTAAACTTACTTTAACAAAATATGCATACAGAAAGATCAAATGAGATACTGAAAAGCAATGACATTTATATCGAATAAATATGTGTGTAAGAGAGAGGGCAGTTAGAAATTTTAATATTATTATTTTTAGTAAAAGTACTTTTCCGATGTACAGTACTTATTGATGATTCTAATTTTCGATTCTTATAGTAATTTGGAGAATAAAATTATTTTAATCTTGCAAAATTACAGTTTTCAAAATAAATATAATTAGCTTTTAATCTAAATCATCTATCTATTTTTCAACATTAAGACGATGTTTGTTAGAGGCTTCTATATAAAAATATTTCTGTATTTCCAGAATTAGTTTTTATAATGTATATATATATATATATTACTGTTGAACTAGATTATAATATTAATATTTACCTTACGTTTAT